TTCCGGCATATTACGGGGGCACAGTGTTTCTTAGTGCAATTTAAAAAATGTCATGTTGTCATTTAAAGACATAATTTTGAGTAATCATGCATATATAAGAATCAAATTATATGCTATAAATATGAGATTTCATTTTCCATGAATTATGAAACCATTTTTAAATCCTTTATTTTACCTTACTACAAATTTTTAGGCACAATGAAAAGCACCCTAAACAGTCTAAGCAGAATGTGCATGTTAAACTTTAAGGAATAACATGTTTATTGAAAAAATTTATTGGAACTTAAATAAATTGAGATGGGCTTCCACTGGGATGGTTGCTCCTTTGAAACATGTTAGCAAATCCCAGCTCATTCTTTTAGAAATCACATGTTCATGCTAGGTCTAACTAGTTGGCCAAATACTCATGATGGGGAAATCATTTCTGAGGAAAGTGGTAAGAACCCCTGCTTCGGTCTTGCTTAACCAACTACTGTTCCCTGTGGAGAAAGCCAGCTAATTGTTGTTTTGATAGGGCTATCTACCATTGTAGACTATCTTAGCTAAATGACAAATCAACTATGCATTCTATCCTGGATATGTCAGAGATAAGGACTTTTAGGCCTTGCTTTATGAAACTAGTTTTTAACAGCTGATATGAATATTTCCCTTTGCTATTTTGTTCTGTTGTCCAGTCTCACTCTAATTTATTATAGTTTCTATGAAGACTATAGCTCAGAACACAAGATAAGCATGAAAAGTCCTCAAGACAGGATTAGCAACATATGGATCATTTTAATGTCATCTTTTTTATATTTCTGCAACAGCTAAAATTCTAACCTCTATTGAAAATGAAAAATATAAAGAATTTATACTCAATTGCAGATGTTCTGGAAAAAAGACTGATGGTGAAATATTTGTTTTTATACATACATGTTTTCCTGTTCCAAATAGATGCTAATGTTCTTTTTTTGTTGTTAGCTATAAATAAAAGTGCCCAATATTAAAAAAAAAAAAAAAAGATCTGAAGGATATTTGTCTGTTCTTATTTCCAGTCACCTTCTCATCCCCCTCCAGCTTTAAGTTCTAACAATATGGATCATTTTGAATTCCATGAACACATGTGCCAAGTGCTCTGATGCTTCCATGCCCTCACTCAAGCCCCATCCCAGGACACTTACCTCTTCCTAGTCTCCACTCCCACCCCTCATCATTTGAGTCTTAGCCCACATACTAACCCTTCTGGGAAGGATTCTCTATCTCCACCAGATATTTTGATGGTCCTCTGCACAAGCACCTGTGTTTTCTTATTATTAAAGTAGTTGCTTTTTTTCTGGAAAAATTTTTCCATGACTCTCTTCCCACTAAACTCCCTGTTCCCTGAGGTACAGGGACATACTGTAGTAAGTACTACAGCCAGAACTCAATCCCAGGTAGGTTTACTACCAAATCTATTGCTCTTTCAATTTTACCATACCATACTAAAACTGCAGGTTACATCAATACTTCCAACCTTAGCCTATGACAGCAGAGCACTATCGGCCATCATAAAATTAATTAAAAGAAAGTTCAAAGTCTTTTCCACATTCCTTAAAATCTTTTCTCTCTCGAGGTTCTGTGGAGACAATCTAGGAGAGTGGGGTCACAATGTTGGTGTGCTAGGCCACCCAAGAGCCCGGCTTCCTCTGGGGCCAGCAGCCCGTGAGTGATCACTTCCAGGTGCATCCATGTCATCTGCTTGCACAATGACTCACAAACACAGCTCTGAGCAGACACCAACAAGTTAGAGCAGGAAAACACCAGCAAACATTTAGAAATTCTACCTGCATACTTGAAGAGAAATTCTTATACTCTTACTACTATCCTCTCACTTCCTTAAAACAGAAGTAGATTAATTTGCACTTGCTGTTACTTTTGAGAACTCCCTCTCTTACAAAATTACATCCATTGGTCAATAAACATTTTCACTTGAAATGGGAGTGAGAGAGAGTAAGGAAATGGATGAGGAGAGAGTTGTTAAAAGGAAAAATACAGTTGTGAAACTGGAGCTCATTAGTGCTAAGAAAGTTATAAATGCCTCCTTAAGTGAAGAAAAGTACTTTTTTCTGAGTAGGTAAAAGGTCAAGGAGTAGGTCTTGCCGTAAACTTAATAGGGACAAAAAATTAAGACAGAATTCAAAGAAGGGCAATGGCGTATTGCTAACAAAGACAAAAGTGGAAATAAAATCTCCTGCCAGGCTCCCTTTGCTAATGCAGAAAATTTATGAATTGACAAAAGACTCCAAGACTTTCACTTTCTAGTACTGTAAACACTTAGGAAACTGACAATCGTGGGAAGGAGAAAAGAAACAAAGGGAGAAGACTGGTGGGGGTGAGGTTATGGAAGGAAAGAAAATTAAAATGGGTGCAAGAGGTATACATTTGCAAATCTAAAAGAATACTGCAAAATAAAAACAGCACTGCTATGTTAATTCTGATAATGAAGTATTCAATGATTGATATAGAGCCATATCTCATACTTCATAATAGATAATCTCTATACTACTTTTTAAATTTGTTTTTGTTGATAGAATAGGGTTGAAAAAATGGAACAACTTAGCAGATGCGACTATCTGATAGGTTGCTCTGCAGGAAAATATTGGCAGCATATAGAAAAGATAATTTTTAAGCTGAACCCTTACAGAGTCCAACTTCATTTTATAGGGACACTTATAATCAAAGGAAGTTTAAAAAATAATAATGAGATATTTTTTTCTGACTAGATTGGCAAAGTTTGATTTTGTTTTAAGAGACTGGGTCTGGCCGGGCGCGGTGGCTCACGCCTGTAATCCTAGCACTTTGGGAGGCCGAGGCGGGCGGATTGCTCAAGGTCAAGAGTTCGAAACCAGCCTGAGCGAGACCCCGTCTCTACCAAAAATAGAAAGAAATTAATTGACCAACTAAAAAATATATATACAAAAAATTAGCCGGGCATGGTGGCGCATGCCTGTAGTCCCAGCTACTTGGGAGGCTGAGGCAGTAGGATCGCTGAGCCCAGGAGATTGAGGTTGCTGTGAGCCAGGCTGACGCCACGGCACTCACTCTAGCCTGGGCAACAAAGTGAGACTCTGTCTCAAAAAAAAAAAAAAAAAAGAGACTGGGTCTGTGTTGCCCAGGCTGGGCTCAAGCAATCCTCTGACATCAGCCTTCCAAGTAGCTGGGAGTACAGGCACATGCTACTGCACCCTGGTACAAAGATTTTTTAAAAACCAGCCAATACAGTCAAGGAGAAGGTATGGAGGGGGGGGAGTTACTCTCATGAATTGTTAATAAGTTTATAAATTAGCATCTTTTTTCTGGTGGGTAGTTTGGTAATATGTATCAAAATGCAAAATGTACATATCCAATCACCTAACAATATCCTCCCTTTAATTATTTATACTAAATTGATCATGGCCTAAACACTTGAAGATGAGTGCAAAAGGAAATTTATTACAACACCGTTTTACTTGCAAATTTTAAAGACAACCTGATGTTCATCATAGGAAACTAGTTAAATAAATATGTACTATGTATTTGTATTAGGGTAAGGATTTATATTTATGGCCATGGAACATACTGTCAAGAGAAGAAAGCAGGTTATAAAAGCGGTAGCCCCATGCAGGTGCATCCCCACAAGATGGCAGCATCACAGGTCTGCAGCTCCTGGGCTAGCACCTGGTCCTGCCCTCCCTCAGCAAGGTTGTGGATCATTAAGAAAATCCTGGGAACACTGGGTTCTTTCACAAGACACAGTTACATCAGCTGTTTTCCCAACCACACTGCAATCACCTTAGATAGTAATAAGTCCTCTGCCCTGCAATAAGGGAGTTATGTGATATGCACCATGTTTGCCTCTCACGCTGTGGCTCTAACATGAGTGGAAAACACAGCTTAGCGTTCTGAATCTTTTTGTTTATTTCAGCCCACTTTGATCACCTTAACAGATGTGTAATTTGAATTGTGATTGTGGCTGTAACCATGCCTTACATGTTTCAAATCTAAAATCGATAATGAAACCCCAAGATTCTTCTAAGTTTAAACCAATGAAATAAATATCTAATTTTGCCTGACAAGAATAACTCTCTTTTTGGAGAAAGAGCTGCTGTTAGATTGCCTTAGTATGATTATCATCTATCAAGAACTAATTGTTAATATTATACATAAAAATAGATCTGTATATATAGCATAATTTTAAAAAACAGGTATTAAAAAATGGTATCTACACTTGTGTTTATATATGTAAAAAAAAAAAAAAGAAAAAAAATGGTATCATATGACCCTAGGTATGTAAAATTACAAATTTATATACACAGAGAAAGATGTTTGACAGATTATGTTAACCATTGTTAACATTTTAGTGAACTCTGAGTGGCAGAATTTGAGAAGATTTTAAAGTTTTATTTTTTATGTGGTTTTCTGTATAGTGTAAATTTTTTCAAATTAGCACCATTTTTACAACAAAAAAATTAAAAGCTACTTAAAAATCAAACAATTTCTTTTTTTTTCAAACAATTTCTTTTTTAAAATAATTTTAATATTAGGTACATCATCATTATTATTATATTAAAGGCTTGTTTTAAATATTATTCTTTGGAATTATTCTTTTTTTTCTTTTTTCCTTTCCATTTCTGGATGAAATGGAATGATTCTAAGTAAGACCTTTTTAATTCAGAAAGAAATTATACCAAAATAAATTAGAACCCTTTTACATATGAACTCTGTCCATAAGTGAATATCCCTTTGACAAAGAGAACTTAGAAAAAAGAATTACAACTTTAATAGTATTTATTGTAGTTCTTTAAATCTGGAGATTTATACATTTGTGAAATGCATTCTTACTAGAATTATAAGGAAGCTTTATAGACACCCAGAAATCTAAATACACTTAACATTTGCCATGGGATAAATTTTCAACTTGTACTACCTTTGGCAACACCTAAACCGGTGTCTGCTTCCTCTAGCCTCAGGGTTCTCCCGGTAATATTTTAGATAAATCTTACCTCTTCAAGCTTCTTCTCAATCTCCTTAAAAACAAGATTTGCCTTAAATCCATCACCTGGAGAGCTGGTTGGAGCAGCCTCAATTTGATGAGTTCTAAAAGAACTGGGGGAAAGAATCAGTTTCAATTTACAGAGTCACATAGGTACATAAGTTTTTCAACATTTATACAATAGTAATTTTCAAAAATCCTAAGAATAAAGATGTTGTGACTCTTATCCAAAGGAGATCTTTAGTGAGCACATAAAGCAATTAAGCTTTTCTTCCCATTTTTTCAACTAATAATTAGCTCATTAGGTGCAAGGCATTTGTTCTTGAAAATATATTACAGTATAACAAAGAAGCTTTCCTCATGAACATTATGTGCTAGTGGAGGAAAGAAACAATTAACAGGCAAAAATAAATAGATAATATCTTTACTATGAAAAAAATAAGGCAGGTTAAAGGGCATAAAGAGTAGATTTATGTGTAAGGCATGCTGTTTTCCATAGCATGATCAGGGAAGGCTTTCCTAAGGAGGTGATATTTAAATTAGGCCTTAAAATATGTAAATGAGCCAGTCCTATAAAGATTTAGGTAGGGAAGTTCTAGCCTGAGGGAACTTCTATATAAAGAACTTGAGGTACAAACTAGCTTGGCAATTTTTTTTTTTTTTGAGACAGAGTCTCACTCTGTTGCCCAGGCTAGAGTGAGTGCTGTGGTGTCAGCCTAGCTCACAGCAACCTCAAACTTCTGGGCTCAAGCAATCCTTCTGCCTCAGCCTCCCAAGTAGCTGGGACTACAGGCATGCACCACCATGCCCGGCTAATTTTTTCTATATATTTTTAGTTGGTCAATTAATTTCTTTCTATTTTATAGTAGAGACAGGGTCTCGCTCTTGCTCAGGCTGGTCTCAAACTCCTGACCTTGAGTGATCCTCCCGCCTTGGCCTCCCAGCTAGCTTGGCAATTTAAAGAAATATAAGAAGACCAGTGCACCTGGAACAGAGGAGTAGGACGATCTACAGTCAGAGAAACACAGAGGGCAAGGATAGCGAGGGCCTTTACAGGTCACAGTCAGGCGTTGCAGTTTTAAGTACAATAAGAATGGTAAGGTGTAAGCTGGAGAGTGGCATAATCCAATTTACATGTTTCAAGCAACCAATCTGGCTGCCAGCTGGAAAATGGACTGTAAGGGGGCAAGTGAGAGGCAGGGAAGGTCAATTAAGAGGCTACTGCAGGCCGGGCACGGTGGCTCACGCCTGTAATCCTAGCACTCTGGGAGGCCGAGGCGGGCGGATTGCTCAAGGTCAGGAGTTCGAAACCACCCTGAGCAAGAGCGAGGCCCCGTCTCTACTATAAAATAGAAACAAATTAATTGGCCAACTAATATATATATAGAAAAAATTAGCCGGGCATGGTGGCGCATGCCTGTAGTCCCAGCTACTTGGGAGGCTGAGGCAGAAGGATTGCTTGAGCCCAGGAGTTTGAGGTTGCTGTGAGCTAGGCTGACGCCATGGCACTCACTCTAGCCTGGGCAACAAAGTGAGACTCTGTCTCAAAAAAAAAAAAAAAAGAGGCTACTGCAAAAGTTCAACACAGAGATGATAGGAATTAGAATAGGTTAAATGGGAGTGGGAAATAAGCAGAGGTTGAATTCAAGATTTATTTTTTTCCTGCAATGCAAGACATGAATTTAACAACCATCTGGCAACTGGCAACAATTAAGATAAATAGCCTGATGTGGCGGAAGGAGCACAGCCTCACAGCCATGAAGTCCTCGGCTGGAATGCCAAGGGCCTCTTCCACTCACTCACTGGCAATGATTCTGAGCAAGTTCCTTCATCCCAGTGCCCAGTGGGGAGGTAGGGAAGAAGATGGAGGGTGCCAATGGCTTTGTGGAGTCAAATGGAATCCTGTGTAGAAGGTGCACCTGGCAGAGTACCTAGGCCACAATAAAACACGATAGCCATGACTGTTATGGCTCCAGGGCTTCGAGTTTTAGGTATGAACAGAAAAGAGTCTAGCATGTTAAAAGAATGTAAAACAAGACCACAGTCACTACAATGAAACTGGAGCACTAGGCAGGGATCAGATCATGCAGGCCAGCCAAAGTAGGGAATTGGGGAAGCCACAGAAATAAAAGGGAAGTGAAATAGTTTGATTTGCGATTATTCTTACAGCAGTGTGCAGAATGAAGGGGGGGCAGAACCCCTGTTGTAGAAGTCCAAATAGGAGGGGACAGTAGCCTGGACTGGAAGGCAGCTTGCCAGCGGAGATAGAGAGAAGGAAATAGATTCAACATAGAAAAAGAATCCACAGGCCTTGCTGCTGGAGGGGTGGGAGTCATAGGGGGAAGGGGCAAGGATTATCCAGGCGTTTGGCCTTGAGCCACTGGATCATGGTAGTGCAATTGACTGAGACAAGGAAACAATGCAGTGGGAGTAGAGGGGATCAAAGTTCTGTTTTAGGCACATTAAGTATGACATGTCTGTGAGACAAGGTGGCAGTTGAATATGAGAATCCTGAACTTAGCAGAGAGGTCTAGGCTGGAGATGCAGTATCATCAGCATAATGAAAGCATTTAAATCCATGGGAATGGATCAAAAGGGAATTATAGAGAAAGAAGAGTGCCTAGGACAATGCCCTTTAGAACCCCATTATTCAGAGGTCAGAGACAGAAGAAGGGAAAGCAGCAGCCAGTGATACAAGAGGAAAACCTGAAGAGCATGGTGTCACAAGCCAGGAGGGCAGAGAGATTGCAGGAGGGAGGAGAAAACTAAGCCAAATGCTATCCAAAGGTCAAGTACCCACTGGACCTGGCCTATGGAAAGTACAGATGACCCAGGCAAAAGCAGTTTTAAATGGTGGAGGCTGGAGGTCTGATTATAGTGGATTAAAGAATAGAGATAGGCCAGGCGCAGTGGCTCAGGCCTGTAATCCTAGCACTCTGGGAGGCCGAGAGGGGCGGATTGCTCGAGGTCAGGAGTTCAAAACCAGCCTGAGCAAGAGCGAGACCCTGTCTCTACTATAAATAGAAACAAATTAATTGGCCAACTAATATGTATAGAAAAAATTAGCTGGGCATGGTAGCACATGTTTGTAGTCCCAGCTACTTGGGAGGCTGAGGCAGCAGGATGGCTTGAGCCCAGGAGTTTGAGGTTGCTGTGAGATAGGCTGACACCACCGCACTCACTGTAGCCTGGGCAACAAAGCGAGACTCTGCCTCAAAAAAAAAAAAAAAAAAGAATAGAGATAACATGGCTTTTTAGAGACATTAGTTTTAGGGGAACAGTGAAATGAAGTGGTCTCTGGAGAGAAGTATAGTATCAAAGAAGGTTTGTGTTTTGGGAGGAGTGGGATAAAAATGACATCTTTATTTTGACTAATCTCTTAAAGAAATGTAGAATTTCATTCTGGATGTGGGCATGTAAGACTCCTGTTAACATTTCTTTTCTTTCCCAAATTTTATTGTGGTAAAATATACATAGCATAAAATTTACCACCCTAACCATTTTTAAACGTACAGTTCAGTGGCATTAAATACATTCACAATGTTGTGCTATCATCACCAAATCCATCTCTATAAGTCTTTTCATCTTGCAAAACTGAAACTCTGTACTCATTAAACAATAACTCCCCATTCTCCCTTCCCCCAAGCCCTGGCAACCACCATTCTACTTTTCTACCATTCTACTACAGTTTTGACTACTACAGATACCTCGTATAAGTGGAATCATACAGTATTTGCCTTTTTGTTATCACTTAGCATAATGTCTTCCAGGTTAATCCATGTTGCTGAACATGTTAGAATTTTAAGAAAGGCATGGTTTTGTTTTAACCATGTATCAGAGCATGTATGCCTGATATTGGTAATGGACCAGGGGAAGGAGATGGAAGGAGAGACATCTTGAAGAGGTGACAGAAGATGGGATCTAGTAGCCTGTGACTGGAGGAAAGAAAGAGGATCAGATGGGTGCAATTCTAGTGGGTCTATAGGTCTTGCATGGAAGTTTGGATTTAATGGCTTCTATATTCTCAACAAAGTATAAGGCAAAGTAATCAGTAAAGAGTGAGAAGTAGGCCGGGCGCTGTGGCTCACGCCTGTAATCCTAGCTCTTGGGAGGCCGAGGCGGGCGGATTGCTCAAGGTCAGGAGTTCAAAACCAGCCTGAGCAAGAGCGAGACCCCGTCTCTACTATAAATAGAAAGAAATTAATTGGCCAACTGATATATATATATATATATAATTAGCCGGGCATAGTGGCGCATGCCTGTAGTCCCAGCTACTCGGGAGGCTGAGGCAGAAGGATCACTCGAGCCCAGGAGTTTGAGGTTGCTGTGAGCTAGGCTGACGCCACGGCACTCACTCTAGCCTGGGCAACAAAGCGAGACTTTGTCTCAAAAAAAAAAAAAAAAAAAAAAAAGAGTGAGAAGTAATCAGTAAAGAGTGAGGGTGAAAGGGTGGTGTGGAAAGTCTTGAGAAGCTGAAAAGTGAGCCTAGTAGGCTGCCCGCAGTGGCTCACACCTATAATCCTAACACTCTAGGAGGCCGAGATGGGAGGATCGTTTGAGCTCAGGAGTTCGAGACCAGCCTGAGCAAGAGCAAGACCCCATCTCTACTAAAAAAATAGAAAGAAATTAATTGGCCAACTAAAAATATATAGAAAAAATTAGCTGGGCATGGTGGCACATGCCTGTGGTCCCAGCTACTCGGGAGGCTGAGGCAGTAGGATTGCTTGAGCCCAGGAGTTTGAGGTTGCTGTGAGCTAGGCTGATGCCACGCACTCTAGCCGGGACAAGAGTGAGACTCTGTCTCCCAAAAAAAAAAAAAAAAAAAAAAAGTGAGCCTACTAGAGGAATCATATAAATATTATGAAAAAGGGAAGGGCCCTAAGCTGCAACTGTGCTGATTACAGCAGTCCTCAGAGCACACAATGCTACCTCATGCTGTCATGCCTTCCCCGAAGCTGGTCCACATACCTGGAATACCTTCATTTTGGCAAACTCCATTTCCCTCTTCACAACCCAGCCCAGGAAACCCCTTTTCTGTGAAACCCTACAAAATTTCAGCTCCTCAAGATCAGATACCACATCTTTAAAACAAAAAAATTGTTTTTTGTATTGC